GCAAAGCCCGGCTCTTAGCAACCTGGGACCCTCTGGCTGGCATCCTGCCTAGCTCCCGGCAGCCAGTGACATCACTTGCTGCCAGGAGCTTTGAGGGATGCCGGCCAGACTGTCCCAGGTTGCTAAGCTTTAGGTGGGGAGATGTGTATAGCCCTTACACATGGTCAAAAAGGTGGGCGACCCAATGAGATGCTGCCTGAGGTAACATCTTCATTAAAGGGATGGCGCTGTGTTAAGTGACGGACGTCACGGCACTTGTAGTCTATTCATACTACCGCCTGTCCCTGTAACTGAAAGTCCGCAGCTCAATACAGTGCACCCACGATCCACTCAACACAGGTGCAATGTTTTACTGGCTCCAATGCAAACATATAGCCAATGCACATTGTTTCTTCTATGCGTGTGTGCTCTTATTAGTTTTCGGTAAAAGGTGGATTTGGCCTTTTGAAGGTTAAGCATGTGGTTCTATAATTTTATTAAAAGTATTTAAATTTTACTGGAATGAAAGTGCCAAACAAGCACAAAAAGGTTGTTTTGTTAATATATGCCATTTTAGTTGTTCTATATTAATCCTCTAGTAAAATTTAAACATTGTCGTTAGCCCTAACCAGTTGCTCAGGAGAAACATTAGGCTCACTCGTTATTTCCCGTTGATATAATAAAACTCAGTTGGTTCTAGGTTGTCAGAGAACTACCAGAGACTGCACATTAGGGGAAAACCCGAGCTAATGTTATCTAATATTCAAAATTCCTTTGTTTTGTTATTAATATTGGTAACTGTTCTATAGTGAATTCTCTTCATTCTCTCGTCTCAAGAGTGTTAGCTGTAAAAGTGGGATGCAAAAGCTCCTTAGAGCAATATCCTAATCACCATTTATCTAGAAAATGAAATCATTATATTAAGTATGTTATATTAGGTTCTGGTATTCATGGATTAAAAACTGAATTATGGTAGCAGTAATAATAATAATACATTTTACGCAATCCATAAACATGATCCGTGATTTCAATACCATATTTTTCTAGGTACATTTAGCTGATTTGTTAATATTAGCTCAATACAAATTAAAGGTTGGCAAATCATTTTCTTTTCCTTTCGAGTCACTGGCTCCTACATGTCATTCTTGAAAGGTGGGTGGGTTCTGATCATTCACTTTACTTTTCATGAACTTATCAATGAATGCTTTGTATTCTTACTTATTCTTACTGATGGAGTGGAACATTCTGTACATGTCTCCTCCCTGGAAAACACACAGTAATAAAGATAAAGCTGATTAGTAAAGAGGCACAAATAAGATGAGCCAGTATCTTAACTGAATAACCGCTGATTGTGCTTTCTTATATGTCACTCGTGCATAACCAGAATGAAAAAAGTCTGAGTAAATCTTGCCCGGCATTCTATGCTTAAAGTCTGCCAAACTGGACCAGCCTGAGGCCTTTTTTTCTGACTGCCCACACAAATTAGATAACTGCAATGGAATAGCACACTGAACACAATGCATGTCCAAGTGAAAGTCTTCCTACTTGGCCAGACAGGGCTAAAAAGTCCACCCTAGTTTTTAAAAAGCACAAGCCAAAGTTTGTGACCAGCCTCATTTCACATTTACTGGTTCAATTTCAATAGTGTATATCGAATGTCACAAGGAACAAAGGAGGAGTCAAGAGTAAGCACTGACAATCGAGTTAGATTGTGAACCTTTGAAGGTCCAAAGTTAGGGTTGCCACTTTTGTTCTGGCAAAAATCGAGACAGGGGCTAATAGCAACTGACCTAACCACTGACATCTGAATGATGTCACCCTCTCCTTGGTGCTTCAGAGATAGACTCCCTTCACATCAGGAACCTCCTCCTTTCACATAAGGAGACTTTCCTTTGCCTCAGGAACTCCCTTTATATCAGAGTCCACCCATTACATCAGCAGCTTACCTTCACATTAGAGACCCCCTTTACATCAGAGTTCCCTTTTCACATCAGGGTCCCCCCTTTCACATGAGGACTCCCCCTTTTACTTTAGGAAACCTTAGCATTAACATAAGGGGCCTACCTTCACATCAGGAGCCAAACGTGTTCTGCTGGTCAATGTCATAAGGACAAAAAATAAATAAATTTTGAGTTGTCACCAAAACAAGAAGTGGGGAAGAATCTACGAAAGGGACAAAAGTTCTGGTGACAACTGTCCCTCATTTTGAAGAGATTTCCTCTGACTTCCTTTTGTGCTTATGAAATAGAGAGTAATGTGAGATCTCCTCAATATAATGTAGAAGGTAATAAAAGGGTTGTCAATGCTTCTTTACTTTGTACTCTACTCCATTTTTTAACAACGGACAAAGATAAACTTTAGATAAACATTTCCATCCAAAACATGTTTTTTGTTTTGTTTTGGGTAAAGTGAGATATAGGTAAATTGCTTGTCTTCCACTGGGAAGATTTCACCTCACTTTCTTTCTGTTAGAAGGTTGTCAGAACTGAAGTGAGAGAAAATCTTCTCAAAGGTAACACAGACCAGAATAAAAAAAAAAAGTCTGTTTTTTTTATTGCTGTACAGCAGATTTTCCCCTCACTTCCTCAACAGATAACCAATGGCCAGAACAGAAAATAAGGGAAAAGTCCTCAAGGGTACCCCAAACATCATTTAAAACCTAAAAGCATTAAGTGTAAGTAAAGCCAATTTTTTTTTAGTTTGGGATAGAATGTTAGAACCCCTGTAAGATTTTATTAGTGTTTGTGTTTCTGCTGGGCAGAATTGCCCTCACTATTGCTCCAGGTGACCATTGTCTTCAGGACAGAAATTGATGGGCTACCTGAAAACATAAGTTGTCATAGGAACTGGAGGCAGGGGCAAATCTTCCAATGGGGAGGCCTGTTCTGGATATCACTTGATAGAGATCTTCCTGTTGTGGCTCTCTGACAGGAAAAGAAGACACCAACAGCAAAAAAAGAGAAAACAACTGACAGGCATTGTAACCATTCCAAACCCTATCCAAAACACTGGGCTTTAGATTCTCTTTAACACCGTATTTGACATTTATAAAACCCTTGGTTGCCATAGAGTTGTATTACACTTAATAACCTCACATGGTTTCCAATACCATCTATATGCCGATGACACTCAAATACATCTTTCTACTCCACAACTCACCCCCTCAGTGTCCTTACGTGTCACTAATCTACTGACTGACATCTCCGTCTGGATGTCACAACACTTCTTAAAACTCAACCTTTCAAAAATTGAGCTCATAATATTTCCACCCGTGCACCTTCCCCCAACAGTTCCCTTGAGATTGATAACACAACTATCCATCCCTCCCCTCATGCCAAGGTCCTAGGTGTCATCCTTGACTCGGACCTCACCTTTCTTCCCCACATCCAATCACTATCCAAATCCTGCCACCTTCACCTTCGTAACGTCTCCAAAATACGCCCCTTCCTCACCAATGAAACCGCTAAATTACTCATCCACTCACTTGTTATCTCTTGTCTTGACTATTGCAATTCCCTCCTCATTGGCCTACCTCCTATTGTAATGTCTTATATTATATTTAATTGTATTGTAAAGTGCTGCGCAAACTGTTGGCACTATATAAATCCTGTATAATAATAATAATAATAATTATACTTAAAACAGGTCTGTGTTAGAGTTAAAGCTGAACTCCAGGCAAATATAACATTTATAAATGAATGCCTCTCTGTGTTCATTAGCACAACTTTCTTTATTATTATTATTAACTCAAGCAGTACCTCAATTCGACCCCAATTAGCTTTTGCAATCCCCTGTACAGCACAGCTCTGATTGAGAGATGAAAAAGCAGACAATCGGTTGTGCTACAGTGCTCATGGAATAACATGGTACAGGTTGAATGGAGGCGAGAGCAGAGTGACAGAGAAGAGTTTATCAGTCTGCTGCTTCCCTTTTCACTGTCCAAACACAGACGAGCAACGGGACAGACAGGGCCACCCATGGCTTGTATTTTAGCCATCCTGTGTTACTTAACTGCAGCACAGTAAAATCAGGTCTCCTCCTACACTTTAATTTGCCAGTCTGACCCCAAATTAACTTTTTTTTTTAATAAACTAAAATAGAATCTATTTACTCTTTTAGAAGCTCACATTCCTAATCAAGGCATCCCTGAGCATTTTTCTGCCTTTAGGATATTGGCTGAATGTATTCCTCTGTTATTGTTTTTCCAAGCCAGGTTTTGACAATGATTATGTTCTTGTTTGAGCCACTTTGGTGTATGCAAACTAAAAGATGTCTACAAATGTCTTCAATATTTTCATTTTGTTCTAATTAGAGGAGGTTTCCATTACTGGCTTGTCCATACATTCCTGTAATCCATTACTCTTTCTGAAGAAGTTACATACTGTGAATTTCAGCCATGTATTTCTGTCATTGCCCTGTCTAGTGTGTGTTTATAATTTGTTGTGGGCGGGTATAAGAGTATATAAAGTCAAATCTAAAATAAATGGTTGGTTTCTATAGTTGGCAGAAGGATTCAATAGAATCTGTACTAGTCTGACTTCACTAATCTAAGATCTGATGAGTCGCTATAGGTTGTTGCATTTTTACATGTTATAATTGTTTGTCTCTCTATGCATGCATCTTTAATAATAATAAAATAATCCCCACAATATATTCAATATATTATAAGGACAATTTGGTCAATTTGCATGTAAATTAAAACCTTTTTAGTGAAATCTCACGCATAAAGATTATACTTATGATACCTTTTTACATGTGAACTTATTTCCCTTTCAGATAATACCCTGGGAATAGTCCTAGGAAGTGTGTTTGGATTTTTTACTCTCCTGGTCCTCTCAATATTGATTGCCCTACATGAAAAGAAGCACAGTAGGTAAGTGATTTTCCTACCCCAAAACCAAAACGGCCCCATGTAAAAGTGTAAGTATGTACAGTATAAACATTGGAGTTGTTTCTTACAGTTCCATATGTCATTGTTCCCATGCAGAGAAAAGAATGAAGGCTGTTGACAATGACCCCGATTTCCTTTTTCTTCTTACTGCTCTCTATGCTATTCTCCACTAGAGGCCACACTGCCCATCAGAAAATCTACTCAATCTTATTGATCTCTGGCTGCCGATAACTGAAATTGTCACCCTGTGCTACTTACTTTGGTTGCCAAAAACACAAAAGACCTCTTTCTATTGGCTAGCAATCACAATATTGCATTTTACATAACGCAGGCTGCATAATGAGTTGCATACGCAAATTAATATTCAATGGGTCCCATCGAAATCCTGACCAATATCGAGTGGGTGCCAAAGTGACCGCAGATGCCTCTGCAGATGCATAAACAAGTAATAGACAGTCACTCACATTCCAAATTGATTCTTAGTCAATGTTTTATTGACCTCAGTAGTGTCACATTGTAAAAGTGATGTTTTGGAACTGCATGGTCCCTTCGTCAGGCAAAACATTTACACACTTTGCCTGAAGAAGGGACCATGCGGTTCCGAAATCAAGTTGGGGTGCGAGTGACTTTCTATTACTTGCTCATTGATCTGCAAAGGCATCTGTGGTCACTCTGGCACCCACCCGATATTAGAGGGTACAATCCGGTCAGGAGTGCAATGGGACCCATTGAATATTGGCATGCGCAAATCAATCACAACCTCCTCAGCCACTATACATCAATCTTATTCTAATTTATTCTAAATTATAGAGAAAGAACTGATGTTACTGTGATGTCAGCTAGAAAGATACTTTGCATAATTAGTCCATATTCAGAATTCCCATAAGTACACAACAACAAATCCTTCACTTCTACTTATTTCTCTCTCTGTAGCCCTCACTGTATTTGGACATGTAGGTTGTAATCTGCTGTCTGTGTCAGTACACTTTGCTTTCTTTCTTATGGTTTGACTTGAAAACGTCTGTGTGCCACGGGAGCCAGGAAACCAGACCACACGGAAACACAGGTAAAATAAAGTCGTTTATTTAAAGGAACATAGATAAACATTCATCAGGGGGATGCGAGGTCAGGAACAAGCTGGTCAAGTCCAATACGGGTACATCTGCCGAGCCAGCATCACGTCCAAAGCAGGTAGTCGTCCAAGCCGGGGTCAAGTCCAAAGCGGGTAGTCGTCCAAGCCAGAATCAAGTCCAAGGCAGGTAGTCGTCCAAGCCGGAATCAAGTCCAATGCGGGTACGTCTGCCGATGTGGGGTCGAGAGCCAGAGGAAACGTCTGCCAGGACAGATCATACACAGAAACACACACAGGAACTCAGACCGCTAGAGATGCACCTTGGAGCACAAACACAAGGGCAATGAACCTGAATCCTGAGCAGACTGATATAGTCAGGTGTTGCCACATCATCACTGTGCGACGCCCAGGCAGCAGGCAAGCGATGATGCAATCAGAGGTTATAAGAGACTGCAGTCTGCACATGTCCAAAATGGCTGCCACCATGAGGACAAGGTAAGACCTTGACAATACCCTCCCCTCAATGGCCCCCCTCCACAGAGCAAAAAATGGTTTCTGAGGGAAGCGAGCATGGAAAGCGCAGAGAAAGCGCACGAATATCAGCGGAGGAAACCCAGGAGCGCTCCTCAGGACCATAGCCTTTCCAGTGCACCAGGAATTGGACTCGGCCTTGGAGCAGACGCGAGTCCAGGATACTGCTAATCTCATACTCCTCATGATTGCCCACAGGAATGGGACGAGGGCGACAAAGTGAGGAGGTATGGCGATTGCAAACCAGAGGCTTCAAAAGTGACACGTGAAAGACATCGAAGATACGCATGCCAGGGGGAAGGTCAAGGGCATAGGCAACCAGGTTCCCCTTACGGAGAATGCAAAAGGGTCCAACAAAACGGGGAGCCAATTTCGGAGCAGGCACCTTGAAGTTGAGATTACGAGTTGACAACCACACCCTCTCCCCAACTTGGTACGAAGGAGTCGGCAGACGTTTCCGGTCTGCCTGGAGCTTCTGACGCTGAGCAGAGACCCTCAAAGACTTCTGAATCTGCACCCAAGAGAAACGGAGGACACGAAGATGATCCTCCAGAGCCGGAATGTCCTGTGGTGAGAATGACACAGTCAACACAGAGGGTTGGAACCCATAATTCGCCATGAACTGAGACATTCCGGAGGACGAGTTGATGGCAGAGTTCCTGGCAAACTCCGCCCAGTGTAACAGATCAACCCAATTGTCCTGATGGTCAGAGATATAGCAGCGGAGAAATTTCTCCAGGGCCTGGCTGGAACGCTCAGCGGCACCATTGGACTGCGGATGTTAGATCCGCAGTCCAATGAGCAAACTGGCTCCCGCGATCCAAGACGCGATCCAAGACAATCTCCAATCTCAAGGCAACCCATGTAAATGAAAGACCTCCCTGGCAAACACCGAGGCCAGCTCGTGAGCGGTAGTCAGCTTCTTAAACGGAAAAGGAGAACTAGAAAAAATGGTACATGCATGAATCTATAACCGGCCTTTATAGCAGGGCGCACATTGGGAATGCTTACAACAATACAAAACACAAAAATTCCCCAGCCTCAACCTGCCAGCCAGCCTGCAACCAAACAAGTAGCCCTGCCCTGCTTCTTAAACGGAACACAGTGGCACATCTTGGAGAACCGATCGACCACCATGAGGATAACCGTGTAACCTCGGGACGCAGGAAGCTCCACAATAAAATCCATGGCCAGGTGAGACCGGGGACGCTCCCCATTTGCAATGGGATGCAGTAGGCCCAAGGGTAGGCGTCGAGAAGATTTGTTCTGGGCACAGACGGAACATGCAGCCACATACGTGGCAACATCAGTGTGGAGAGATTGCCACCAGAACTGACGGGAAACAGCCCAGGACATCTGGTTCTTACCAGGATGACCGGCAATCTTGGAATTGTGGTACGTGCGCAGCAGTTTGATGTGCAACCCCTCAGGCACAAAACATCTCCCAGTGGGAGCATCGGACTGGGCGGCCAGGATTTGTTCCCCAAGGGGAGAGGTCAAGTTGGTGCGTATAGCAGCCAGGATATGATCGGAAGGTATTGTGTCGGCACAGAGTCTTCCCTGGACAACTCAGAATACTGGCGAGACAAGGCATCAGCCTTAACATTCTTGGAGCCGGGCAAATAGGAGACCACATAGTTAAAACGAGACAAGAATAAGGTCCATCTAGCCTGACGGGGTGTAAGCCTCTTGGCCTCCGAGAGATACGTCAGATTCTTATGGTCGGTGAGAATGAAAACCGGAACCGCAGAACCTTCGAGCAACTATCTCCACTCTTTGAGGGCCAGGATGATAGCCAAGAACTCTCTGTCTCCAATCTGGTAATTGCATTCTGCTGGAGACAGCGTCCTGGAGTAGAACCCACAAGGAAGTAAGGGTCCATCAGGTGTCTGACACTGCGACAGGAGTGCGCCTACTCCTGTCTCAGACGCATCCACCTCTAGGACAAAGGGCAAACCAGGATTGGGATGAGATAGAATCGGAGCCGAAGCGAAAGCAGACTTGAGGCCCTCAAAAGCCTGGGAAGCAGCAAGCGTCCAATTGTGGGGATCACTGCCCTTCTTGGTCAGATCGGAGATGGGTTTGACCAATGCGGAAAAGTTCCTGATAAATTTCTGATAATAGTTGGCAAATCCAAGGAACTGCTGAATGGAACGGAGACCACTGGGGCGAGGCCATTGCAGAACTGCCGAAACCTTCTGAGGGTCCATGGAGAACCCTTCAGCAGAAATGATATAGCCCAAGAAGGCAACCTGAGACAGGTGAAATTCACATTTCTCAAGCTTACAGAAAAGCCCATTCCTATGTATTCGCTGCAGCACCCGTCTGACATCCAAGTAGTGTGCTTCAGTGGAGTCCGAATAAACCAAGATGTCATCCAAATAGCCACCACACATTGCTGCAACATATCGCAAAAGACATCATTAATGAACTCCTGGAAGACAGCGGGCGCATTGCACAAGCCAAAAGGCATGACCAGATATTCATAATGACCGGTTCTGGTGTTAAACGCGGTCTTCCACTCGTCACCCTCCTTGATCCTTACAAGGTTATATGCTGCCCTTAGGTCAAGCTTGGTAAAGAACGTTGCTCCCTTGAGGCGGTCAAACAATACGGTAATCAAGGGAATCGGGTATGCATTTTTGACTGTGATGCGATTGAGACCCCTATAGTCAACGCAACATACTCCTCCATCGCCATATTCTCCGCAACAGAAAGAGGATAAACCCTGCCACGAGGGGGAATGGCATCGGGTTGCAAATCTATAGCACAATCGTAGGGACGATGAGGAGGAATAGGTGGGAAAGAAAACGTAGGAGCCAATCTGGTAGAAAGCCTCCGCAGGCGCTCCTTAAACGAAGGCCTCTCCCTGAGCCTGGTATCAATCAAAATCAGGAATGAAACGAGAGCCTCGAGCTCGTCAGGGAGATCCTTAGCCGCAACCTCGTCCTTCAACGCATCGTCCTTCAACGCAACCTCGTCTGCAACGCCTTGCGAACTGACCCAAAAGGTGATCTTGTTGATCAAGCCTGGAGACCAGCATAGGAAGCGTAGGAGTACATGCATCGGCAGGATTCATGGCCCTTGCGTAATGTCACGGGAGCCAGGAAACCAGACCACACGGAAACGCAGGTAAAATAAAGTCGTTTATTTAAAGGAACATAAATAAACATTCATCAGGGGGCAGCGAGGTCAGGAACAAGCTGGTCAAGTCCAATGCGTATACATCTGCCGAGCCGGGATCACGTCCAAAGCAGGTAGTCATCCAAGCCATGTCAAGTCCAAAGCGGGTAGTCTTCCAAGCCATGTAAAGTCCAAAGCGGGTAGTCGTCCAAGCCGGAATCAAGTCCGATGCAGGGTCGAGAGCCAGCAGAAACGT